ATATATATATATATATATATTGTAATATATTCTTAGTTTTTACTAAGATACTATTCTAACGCGCATGTTTAGCATAGAATGTGTAATATATATATCGTTTTGTGAAAGTAGAAGTATGTTGTTTCGTTTGTTTCGTTGAAAATTCGTTTTAATAAAAGCTTCACTAATAATTATAAGTTGAGCTTTACTAACATCGCTTATAATTATAAGCTGAACGACAATGATAGCTACAATTATAACATCGAGCTTATAATTATAGCATATTCATGAAGCTTTTGCGTAAGAAGAATAAGAGAAAATGTATTTTTATGGTACAGTTAAGTTCCATTTAAACATATTATGTAATATATAAACATAATATATTTTATACATTGCATTATATCGTATGTCATATTGTCGTATTATCATGTTTATCATTCTACAGATTTTCTCTGATGTTATATTTTATATTAATATACTTTAATTTATATGTTTTCCGCGCATGAAACTACACTTCGAACATGTGATTTGAGAAAACGACATTTAGGGACTTTTCGAATACCGGACGCCTGTTTATAACATTTATAAACGAAAATACAAGTCGTGTATTCGAATAATAGAAAAATCCCTCATCTCTGTGCCGGAATTTACACCATTCCCAAATCATCGACTTTTAATAATCATTTTGAAGCAATTTTATATCATTTTAATGCCACCATGATTTTTTGTTCTGCTTGAGAGGTCCCGCGAACGCGGGACGGAATTTAAATTTTCCGCGACGTCGTGATCGCAACGCGTCACGTGATACGATTTCAAGCGAATTACGTTGGCGATTAGTTTTTTCGTACTTGCGACGAGTCGCGGTTGACAGGTGCTTTTGTTTCGCGTTAAAGGCGAACCAAATGCCCTAAGTTTACTTGCTATTTGCGCGAGGTAATGTCATTGTGATCATTATCGTATCTTATCATTCGCGCGTTCATTTCGCTTCACGCACTCACCCGAGAGAGCGAGCCGAGTTCGTGGTCGCGTATGAAGAGGTTAGCGCTCGTGGACGCGACGGCGCCAAGTTCGACAGATAATCGCAAGAATCTCGGGTGGCAAACTTGTTCGAGAACGCAATGAATCTTCTTGGAGAATAATAGAAGACGAAACAAAGTCGACGAAGGCAACGAAGCGGCTTCCGCAGTCCATCGAAATTGCTGATTCACGACGTTAGCGGGATAGCGATAAATCGAATTTGGTATGTTTTGCAACGTATTAGAATTCAAATTGGCGGTAAACTTAAGATGTAGCAGTAAAATTTTTAATTATAAAAATTAAAATTAATTTCATATTTTTGACATTTAATTATTAAATATCTTTTATATCATGTATATGTGTAATTTTATAATTGAATATGATACATACGAGTATATAATTATTTAATAAATTAAAAAACGCACATATCTAAATTAAATGAAATATTTAATGATTAAATATGGAATACATTTAAATGTATAACAAATGAAAAATATATAAACATATAAAAATTAAATACATGTAATATGAAAATAACAATTACAAGAGCGGGCGATTACAAAAGAGGGAAGAGAAAGAGGGAGGAAAATGTGAGATTTCGTGGTAAAATTAACAAATCGTTATATTGGCTTTTGATTCACCCGTTTATTCACGCAAAACAAGAATAGACTTGGATATCCGTGTCGTTAATCGTACTCATTGTACACATCTGTTCATATACATACAATATCGTACGTCATACGCATCCACGAAATATACGCATATACGAAATGCGGTGTATACACATTACATATTATATGTATAATATAATTTTACTTTAATTGGATAGGATACAATTCCTCAGCCCTTTCTCATCTTTGTTCTCAAATTTAGCCGCGTATAACGTGTATATCTGAGTATGCGTAGTATATATACTAGTATTTTTTTCCTCTTCGTATCTCCGGACGCGTATTACACCCGTTCTCTGTATTTCTGCGTGTATTTGTACGTACGCGTATTCGTGTGCCGCGCAGATAAAAATATCTCACGCGTGTGTCGTTACCGTCGTTTGCAAATGTGAACAAAAACTATGCAGCGAAAGTCGACGGTGTCTCGTAAAAGTGTGTACACACATCGTCTGCTCATATATCGAGTTCATTCATGTCGGAAGGGAAAAGAGCTAAAAAAAAAAAAAGGAAAAGTAAAAAAGAAAAGTAAAAAAGGAAGAATGAGAAGAACGGAAAAACGTATCCGCAGTCGTGCACGCACGCACGCACGCACGCACGCACGCACGCACAGGTGTTTTTTCCGCGCGCATCGACGAAAGATGAAATTGCAGATCGCAGTTTGCAACTCGCGTCGACAGGTGAGAAACTGTAATTCGTTTCCCGTTTCGCGAGATGTATGTCTCTTACAGAAATTTACTGGAAGGTAGTGATTAATTACTTAATTCGAAGTAATTAATTGAATTTATTTGAAGCACTGTAGTTTCGTGTGAAAAATATAAATGTGGATTTAACATGATGTCCATATAATTCTTACCGTGTTAATATTAATATGGTGTGAATTTAAAACTTCTGGTGTTTATATCAACACCATCATAGTATGTATTAAAAACCTGTAGTGTTAAATCTACTCCACATTGGTGTTCGTATCAACAGTATCATAATTTGTGGATTTAAAACTCATTGTTACATATTGATGTTTATATCAGCACTAACAGGATGACAATTATATAGATACGCATAGAATTAAATCCACACTCATATTTTTTAGTGTTTAATACTCAAAATAAGTATCGACAGTCATAGAGGCATCCTGGAAATGTCCTTAAGACATAGGAACATCTTCTGGATGTCTTTAGAACGTTCCTTGAATTAATCATTATCTTTCAACATTAAATTATATTTCTGTAAGGGATATTCCATCCTCCCGGAGATTCTTTATTTTACAGCGATTCTGAACTAATATTCATCTATACGAATACATTTGTCGAGACGCGATAAGATATTTTCAAATGAAATTGAAAAAAAATATTTCTGCGAGAAATATGTGAAAGGGCAAGTTATTTTACTGCGCGAAGTGCGCTCAATTTTACATGAAAACCGTGAAAACGTTAAAGGACTCCACCTGTCGATGCTGCTGCACATAATTGCGCTGCGCGTTGTTCGGACGATGCTTTTACATTGCATAAATAAAAACGCTGATTTTCTGATGCGCCAAAAAACGCGCATGCTCGAGATTCAGGCCGGCCTCAGGGGAAACACTTCGGGAGTGCGTGAATCAAACTTGCAAATTTTATATCTTAAACAAATAATATAAAAACCACAACAAAATCGGACAGCAAAAAAAATAATACAAAATAGATGCAAGACTATCTAGACACATATTGATTGTAATGTAAACATGTGCCTCTCGATCTTCCTCTTTTAACATAAAAACTTTTAACATAAAAAATTACGAATTTGTCGACGCAGCCTTTTTCTTCGCGATGTGCAAGAAATGAATGCAAAATAGACGCAAATATAAAATAAGTGAAATATATGACGGAGCAATTATACAAATTTGAGCCTCGCCTCGAAGTGTCCGAGTTCTCGAAGACCGTACCTGACGATCGCAGTGACGGAATGATTTCAATACTGATTTTGGAATGGTTCGTAATTCTCTCAGAATGGAAACAAGATGTTGCAAGGCAAGGCGGGATTTTCGTGAAGCGCGTCCTCCGGAAGTTTCGAAATCGGGAGAAAATCAGAAGATTCGAAATTTCAGACTTTTAAACTTTGAAAGCCAATTTCACCAATCGGAAGTTGAATAAAGTTGATATTAATTTTCGTTTAATCGCAATCTTTCCCATTCTCTAGAAATAGAAAATTAGAATATTGTAAACTCCATTTATTCTCTATTCAATTTGACGTTTGTTTTGCATGCAAGTTGTTAGATTGAAATCGAAACTTGTCGACAGAAATTTAAATTAATTTAACATATCTACCAGCTCTCTGAGTTATTCAGTTAGTCTCCAAAATTTTTCCTATTCATTGGCATCTCGCGAGATCGACTCATTGTGTGCCATTCTTTTCTATTTGTCTTGGCTTCTTCGATGATGAATTGTCCCAGGTCAGACTGACTTTCTCCCGGGATTGTTTTGCATATTGTAACTTGGGCAATCAGCTAATTTTGAACGTTTGAGGACGCGCGTCCTACCCCGTTATGCCCGGAGACATCGCTTCCTCGGCTAGGTACGCGCGCTAATACTCTTGCTCTGTTACGTGTCGCTTATATATAACTTAAAAAAACGTGAAAAAATAAATAAATACTACGCGTTTCGTGCGCGACTCCCGTCTGCCGGACGGGCGCGGAAGAAGACGCTCTCCGTTGCTCGCGACGTCGCTCGCAAATAAAGTACAGAATACCTCTTCATCTATCTGCCTCTTTGACGAAGCTTTTGAGAATGGCTGCGTTCAGCAGAAGATCTTGTCTTTAACTTCTCTTACTGGATCTAAGTATATTAATCAATCATATTGAAGAATTTTATAATAGTTTTATACATTTTCGAAGCTGCTTTATTCTACAAAATATTGATGTGGAGTATTGATACAATTGTTACTGTTGATATTAATATTAACATCAACAGAATTTAATACCATGAATTTTAAATCCACATCATGATGGTATCATCATGTTGATATAAACACCAGAGGTTTAAAATTCACATCATGTTGATATTAATATACATTAATACCAATAATATTTTATCTATTGACACGAATTAATATTTTTAGAAAAAGGATGTTTCTCTCCTGAACGCAGCCATTGTCACATATACATTCGACTCGCGCATAATTGAATACCGTTGGACATTAATCAGCATCTCTTCCACCGTGACGCCCGGTGCGTTTACCTCGGCGAAAACGTCGTCATATAAATTGCAATAATAACAACAATAATTCTACTATGCCATAATAATATTATTAATAATAATATTAATAATGCGGTCGCCGTTTGAGCGACCGATGGACCTTTGATCTACTCTTCTTAATTGTCTGTTTTAAAATACTTGGCAGAATAAAAAAAAATCTTTTCTTTCAAATATTCGCCAAATTCCCGCATTTGTTTTTCATTGTTTTTTCCGTGTGCCTGAAAACGTTAAAATATGTATTATATCTGTATTACGCGATGTATTCTAACTACCGACACTTTCTTCGTCCGTCGCGCGTACGTTTTTTTATAAACGACTAAAGGCTCAGTAACTAAACAACAAACGGATGAAGAATGGCGACAATAATAAAAATATAATCCTGACGTAAAAATAATCGA